ATATCTATCTATCTATCTATCTATCTATCTATCTATCTATCTATCTATCTATCTATCTATCTATCTATCTATCTATCTATCTATCTATCTACCTGAGTGGGATACAGCAACCCAGCAGAAAGACGGAGACAGTAGAAGAAAAAAAACAGACTTCACGTCAAACTGAAGTCATTGACACCCGACTCAGAGAGCCCAATCCTCACACCCCAGACGTCGGTCCTCTGAACACCTTGAGTGGCCATACCCTCATCCCATATTAAAGAGTCAGCGTGGTGAAATCAGGCGCTCGTCAAAATAATGAAATCCGAGAAATTGGTATTTTTCGGCCAGTTTGGAAATTTTTATCGAATTATTGGTTTTTGGCTCAACGCATTGTATGTCCATTCAAAAACACGTTTATATGTAGATTTTATTAACAAAAGTTGGTTAAAAGCACAAAAATGTAAATTTGCAGTTTCCAAGGACTCTTAAGCTATGGAGTCACCACATTTTGGCGGCCATTTTCTCGCTAATTTTACTAACCAGGTGACCCCCACCTCCTTCAATCGCAAATATCTCCACTTCTATTCCAGATAAATGGATATTTTTTCATCGAAAGCAAAACAAATGAACAACCTTTAAGATGATATCAATAACTCCATATGCCCCAAAAATTAACGAGCGCCTGATTCCACATGTGCTTATGGAATGGGAAAGGAGGGCCTACAGGTTCTTAACAACACTCAGCGGTAAAAGTCTGATTGAGTGTCCTATTCGACACCTACCGGGGCAGTGCCACTGACTGTAGTGTCTTCATGCCATTCCCAAAGGGGGGACATTCTCGTTCATGCACAGTAGAATTGTAAATGGGCTGATTCATCCTGTCACGCTCATAACTGTGCCTGATCTATAACAGGGAACAGCTGCTTTTTGCTTTTTCTTTCCTAATCCTTACTATCGTCATTTCCTCTACTTCTTTTGTTTGTTTGTCACTCTCTTGTGACCCGCTTTTTTCGGGGTGCCTTGATAGTCTAAAGCAGACTTTGTGCTGTTGAAGCTAGAGAGGTGACGAGAGTAAATGTGATTCCCTGTAAAGACTTCTCTGTTGACACCCACACCTTGGCGCTCATATGACCTTATACAGTTGCGAGCGCTGTAAAGCCCTCTATTTAACTCTATTTTTAAAAAACTTCTTTTCGAAACTTACTTGACTTACCATACGCCCATCCAGGGCCCCCACTCCCTGCTGGGCCAACATAGGCCTAGAGGTATATGTAGCTGTGACGCCATGCGTGAAGACGATTTTTAAAAAAAACTTATTTTAAAAAGAGTGTGAGACTTTTTTGTTTTGTTTTGAAAAGGAGTTTTACGGCGCTTGCAACTGCATAAGGTCATAATATAAGCGAAGGTGTGGGGCTTTAGCAGATCTTTATCCACTTGGCAACTGAAAGGGACAGCTGCAAGTACAAAGACTAGACACCGAGACACAAGACTTAACTTTGTTGTTTGAGGTCAATTTTAAGTGCTTAATTTATGTTATCTTTCCCCACTAAAACCTCCAAGCTTACCCCAAGCTCTGTATCCCCGTCGTGCCCGGACCAGTAGTGCAGATAGACCAGTGGGATGGGAGGGGCTAAAATGGGGATAACAGAGGAGGCGGGGCCTATGCCAAGAATAGACATGTCCACTGTCAGTCTGGGACAAGCTGCTTTGAGGAGCGACCAAGACTCGTTTGAAATACGATGAGCTAGTTGGAGAGAAGAGGATAAAAAGTTAATTGTAGAAAGAATTCACGTTATAATCACGATACAAGTATCTGTCTGTTTTCGTTCACATTCAATGCATTACTCATTAAGTAATCAAGCCTTATGTTATAGCCTAATCTTTTTCTAGAGTCATGTCTGTTCAAAAAGATTGCAAAATAGTGAGACTACCCCCCCCC